TTCAGCACTTCGCCGCTGCCGCCGCCGTAAAACTCCGTCCATCGACGTTCAGTACTGTCGGTAACGGGAGCAGCCATCTTTATCGGCACACATTCTCCCACACACATACACACTTGCGATACGGCGGAGCGCACGATACGTGTTCCACAATCCACACAAAGAGCTCTTCCATAAACAAGAGCAATACGCGAGCAAAACTTTCACTTCGCATCCATAAAGGGTTATGGAACGCTACTGCCTTTAGCGCATCTGAACGATACACAAGTGATTTCGCAGAACTTAGTGCCATTAGAGGTGCGCGTGCTGGGGTAATCACAGAAGCGTATTTTTTGCCGAATAAAACTTTACGGCAGAGAACCAACAACTTTTTCGTTTAACCCTTTCAACCATTTCAATACCTAAAGCACAACTATAGGAGCGGCATACACCCCTAGACTCAAATCACGTGGTAATAGAGCACGTAATGCCATAAAAATCAAATTCGTTTAATGTTGAAGGGTAATTGCAGAAATTTATCAGACGGAGATTCAAATAACGACGATTACGTAGGAGCGGAATAGATATTTTCGGATTTATCACATTCTATCCCGATACGCAAATACTTGCAGTGGTAGTATTTGTTAATTTCACGTACTAACTACTGAATGGTGAAGTGCAACGTGCTCATATATTGCAATGCAATGAAGTTTAATGCATTGAAAATACTCTCGCTTTAGCTAAAGAGAAGTGCCACATTGGACATCATGACAAGTTACATAGAAAGGTCTCTGATACATCACTTTCTTAAAGAGCAGTTTCACTGTAGAGCATTTACATATTTTCGAAAGGCCTTCCCAAAGCACATCAAATAAAAAGTAAGGCAAAGTATTTTAGAGAATTTTCATTATCCAGGAAATGTACGTTCAAATGCCAAGGTCTTGAGACATTTGAAGAAGGTCATGGGAAAATCCTGCTGCTATTGTGGGAGCACAAGACTACAGCTTTATACTGCACGATACAAACGAAGTTGCAGACATTTTCATTCTGAGAAGACGCGTAAACATGTTCAGAATTGCAAACTGTTTAGATGAGGACAAAGAAATTACCATAACATTTCAATAATGTAATCAACAGAATCTACATAAGCATATCAGGCAAACAACGATATGAAAACGACAGATTTTACAATGAAACTATGGAAACGGTTAATGGATCGATTATTCTACACTTCTTGTGTTTTGGTTTCTCGTTTTCTGTGGTTTACGTAGTTGAGATTGAGATATTTGAATTTCGAAACGTGCTTTAAAAGCACTGCACATTCTTTCAACACATTTAACTGTATTATTTTACTGGATAAATTATCTGGACTTATTGTATTAATGTTACATTGAATAACATACTTGTTCTTGCAATTTATTTTATTATTCTTATCCTTTGATGTCCAACTTGCGAGGTAAAGAATACCAACTTGTGAAACAATTAAGGGAGGGTTTTGGAAGAATATTCCCCTTTTCTGTCTATTACACGATCGCAGTAAATAAGTATCCGAGCTTTGCGAAGTACTACAGCTACTCTGCGAGTAATATAAACGCGTAAAATAGTTACCTGTAATACTTTGTATTTCACATCGTAATTCAATAGTTCGTTTCAGTCTAATATAACTCTGCCATTATATTTCAAGGAATGAAAATGTATAGCATGGCGTGCAATACCGACCATCGACAATATCGACCATCATCAATATCGATCAGCGCATGCGCAGAAGATCGATATGGCAGTTAACTGCATGAACTGCTGAAACGTTCTGGAACTCCGTAGTGTCTGTGAGAGTATTAATTGCACAATGTAATTCAATGTTGTCAAACTGATATCAGTAACTTTCACATCACATACACAGACACAAAAAACCTGTAAAGCGCTAATTACTTCGGCCTTTGCTGCGATAACGCAGTTATCGGACCTTGGTCTGAACTGCGCTGAGCTGACGTTTCGTCGGAAAGAACGAATTGTGTTTAATTGGTATTTTTAATGCAGTTGGGCAAGATTTGCTAATTAAAAAAACACTGGTATAGTTCCCAAATGTTAATCACAGAGACAATTTGCGTAGCAATGCATTAAATACTGTTGATTTTTACCATCTCCAACAAAACAGCTTCACAATAGTGGTATCGCCGAGCTCGGCATTTGTTCCAAGCGTAAGTCCTTGAGGGACGCCACTTACCCAAGGGGTCGAGCGCCTCCAGTTCGGGGTCGGCCGTGGGGTCGTAGGCGGCGAACGAGTCCTCTTTGGCGCCGCCGCCGGCCGGGGAGATGCTGCCGGCGCCCGCCTTGCCGCCGCCCCCGCGCCCGCCGCCGCCGCCGCCGCCGCCCCCGCCGCCGCCTCCCGAGGAGCTGGTGCGCTGCACGATCTCGCGCTCGATCTCCGTGATCTGCCGCTTCATCAGCAGCACCTGCGCCACCGGTTCTCGTCAGGGACATTGTGGCGAGGAGGGTTACAAATGAAGTGAAATAAAAAAGGAAACTGCACGCAAGTAAGTATGTTATTAAAACATTCGTGACAGAGAGGATTTTTGCATTTAATCGTAAGTAAACAGACGTATAAACCAGTAATCGTAAGCTAAGTCATTTAGTACAACAGAGCTATTAATGAAATGAATACAAGTTCACTGAATCACTCAAATTAGCATCATATCATACACTTTTTCACTAGTGTGACGTCATGGATACTCACAGCGACCACAGACACAGAGCTTTCGTATAACAATATATTTATTAACAAAGAAAACAAAACAAATATATACACTTAATATCTTACTTACACCCTAGCTCTGATAGACCTACTATCCCCTGATCGCGGGAGCGATCCAAACCCGATTGAAGATGGTTTTCATTGTGGCATTCGCCACTCCTACTTTTGAAGCGCGCACAAAGCCTAGCTTCCGTGACCGGATGTCACGCTGGGACACAAAGTCCGTTCTGGCGCACCAACGGCTGGTTTGCCTCGATCGCAGGAGCGATCTTATCCGATTGAGAATCGGCGTGAATCGTGGCACTCAACCACTCTTCACCTCGGAGCACGCACACAGCATCGCTCCCCCGTGACCGCCGTCACCCAAGGACATAAAGTCCGCAGGCTTCGTCAACTAGTGACTCCAGCCTCGCGAGCCTGGCTCGCATATGCACCGTCGTGGCGCCAAGTTTTGTGCACACGCACGAGGTTCTCCCGCTGTCTCCAGAACCCACCCACTGGCTCTGTACACTCAGTTATATAGGCGAGGCCCACGTGACCTACTACGTCACGCCACCCCCTCGCTTGTTATAACAGTGAAAAGCTTCTATAAGCCGGAAGACATCCAAAGCCTTGTGTCTCCCGTTTCCGCGTTCTTCCCTTTACGGAAAGACCCTTCTTCCTGTGGCTAGACTAATCCTCTCCCAAGCGTCCCCAAATAGATGCCATGAGGCACGCTGGCTAATACGTTACACTAGCATTATAGATGCGCAACGTATTATTTTGGTGCACAAATGTATCTTGATTGTTAGTTAATTCTCAAGTCGGATTCGAGAGACAATAGGTGGTAAGAAAGACACCGAAATGCACTGATTCCACGTCGCCACGAGAAACAAAACCCTCCTTTTGGCTTGGCGCAGTCTGGTATTTGGTGGGTTAAATTCGGGTGCGGGGCGCACTCACCGTGGGGTTGTTGTCGGTGTCGGAGGCGTGTCCGGAGGAAAGGCCGTCCTCCAGCACGGGCATGCTGGAGTAGAGGCGCGAGGCGTCGGGCGGGCCGAGGTCGGCGCCCAGCGTGGCGCCCACGCCGCCGGGCCCGCCCGCGCCGCCGCCGCCCGCGCCGCCGCCCACGCCCACTCCGACGCCGGGCTCCGCGTCCAGCAGCAGCAGCGACGCCTCCGAGTCCAGGTCGCCGCAGTTGGAGTCGCAGTCGGTCGTCTCGGGCGACAGCGTGAAGTTGCGCGAGTGGCCCACCTGCAGCCCCACCTCCGTGTCGCCCAGGTCCTCCGTGGAGCCCGTGTCGGCCGACAGGTCCAGCAGGGCCGCCTCGCCGTCCTGCGCGCGCCACAAGCCGCCGTCACACATGGCCCCGCCACGCCCCTCCCCCCTCCCTCGTCGCGCGTGCCGCTATTCATTTGGATTTATGCGGCGACTTAAGTCAAAGCCATAATGAATATCATCTAGCATTAAGTTCACAGGAACACACGTTAATAATAAATTGATTAAAGTGATGTAAGAGTAATTAAATGTTCTTTTAGCTACTCAAGCTAAATAGAATGCTTTAAAAGTGAATTATTAAATGTATTAAGCTAATGTTCAATTCTGGACACTTCATCTTTGAAGACAACACTAACAGGTCCTGAACACAGGTGGTTAACTAACCAAGATTCTCCTGATATCCGATGAAAAAGAAAACAGTCAACTTAAGTAGAATATAATACTTTGAAGACTCATATGCGTCGCAAGATAGTATTTTAAGTATTTCGTCAATAGCACCATTAAACACATTATTTACATACTATTTGATGTTACGTGCGCCGCAAATGTAGGCCGCACTCACAGCTTCCTATCGCCTTCCAACGCCTTGCGACGTACATGAGCACATTCTAACAATTGCACTGCCGTCTCCTGCCTTCTAGTGTTCGTGCCTGATGCCTTGAAAGCGAGAGTCGGGACTTGGTACTCTCCGCGCTCCTCCGCGTCAAACAGCCACGCCTCGCGCTGCGCACGGCATGTGGATCACATGGGCGCAGAGCAGAGCAGAGCAGAGCAGCACGGCGGCTGCAGCTTCTCTCTATATCATGCGCCTATCTCGCTGCGCAACCACCTCGCGGAGCTGGGAGGGTGGGCCAATACGGCAGATGGACGCCCCTGACGTAACGTGGACCCAAAGCGGATTCGGAGAAGAACTTTGGTAAGAAGGGACGTGTTTGGAAAGGTTATCGTGAAAACCTTTAGAAAGGAGGTGCTTATTAAAATCATTCATGATTGTCCAGTTTTAATGGTTTGATGCAATTTAACTCGTGACTGAATTGATTAAAACGTTACCTGCTTTGAAATCGCACATTTATTTATAAGAATACGTAATCATTTCTGGAATATTGCATACCTTTGGGGTAGTTCTTCGTATCCTCGCTCAATGGATCCATCTCTATACGATTTATCAATATACTTTTATTTTAAAATCTCAATTTTAAAGTTTTAGCTCATTAAAAAGTGACATTGTAAAGTTTTAGTCAGTAAAACTAATACCAAGAGAAATTCGAAACTTCATACCCAGAAAATATGAAAATAATAATAATAATAATAATAATAATAATAATAATAATAATGGTAATTTAGAAGTGTAATAAGATAGATTAGCTACATCTCATTACTACCTTTCCTACTGGAATTATCTTTTCTGTTAGTTTGATGAAACGTTATTCAGGGGCGAATGAAAAGGAAATACCTTTCAGAGAACCATGATTTTCCTTCTAAGAAAGAAGCTTTTGTGGATATTGCTGCTTCAAGAGTATTCCAATTAAACTGAGTGCACAAAATCCAATAACGGATTTTGATAAAGGAAGTCACTGAAGTGTTTTTATTTTAATTTTAAAAACATTTCCTAGCATTTACGATATGTTCTAGTTAATTTTGATCTATGCAAAATTTTATGAAAACTTAAACGCTACACCAACTAGTTTAACGAATTGTCAGAAAATTTGTAATTTTTGATGAATTCTTGGAAAACGTCATGCAATACTTTGTGAATGAATTAAAGAGGCATTTGTAGATTAAATTCAGTGCATTAGAGGATTAGGCTCATAAGCAGTACTCTTTGAAATGAAGATGCTCGAAAGCCGCAGCTCAGAAAGTGACTAGAATGTTAACAATATACCATTTACAAGGAACGAAAAATTGAAATCAAAATATATAACTTTGTTGAGGCATATCACTCAAAAGTTTATTACATATCGAAAAGAAAAAAAAACTCTAGAAGTGTGTTTCGACATTTTTGCACAAAAGCACAGTTATCTTTAAAGCGTTTAATAGAGGTCAAAAATAATAAATAAGTATTAATATAGTAATAATAATAATAATAATAATAATAATAATAATAATAATAATAATAATAATAATAATAATAAAAACTTTGGGGTTAATAAAAATGAAAAATCCGTTTCGCAATAACGCTAGATTGGTAGGGGACGTAAAACAGAGGGGGAATGATAAAATGCAAGTGAAACCTTTTAATAGACGTCTGAGACATCGCATACTATCACACGCTTTCGCAACATATCCTCGCAGCTCCATCCCAGCTCGCGCGTCGATCCCCGGGCTATCCATCATGTACGTAAGAGCCTCCTCGCGAAGTCGCCCGCTGACGTGCGTGTCTCTGCCGATGCGGCGCAGGAAGCGTCCCCGGGGCGAACAGCCCAAGCGACTCGCGCGCACGTGCTGCGCCCCGAGCCAACTGAGAGGCACCCCGGGCGCAGCAGGGCAGGGGGCGGGGCGGCGTAGGGCAAGGAGGGACGTGCAGGGCCGGGGAGCAGCGAGGAGAGCGGGAAGAAGCAAGCGGGCTGCAACGGCCAACCGGACAAAGCAGCGGGGGGAGGGGCAGAACGAGAAGGGAAGTGAAAGGGCGGGGAGCGACGGGGGCGGGGAGCGACGGGGGCGGGATGACGGGCGGGAATCGACGGGGCGGGGGAGCGACGGGCGGGGAGCGAACCGGGGCGGGGAGCGACGGGGCGGGGAGCGACGGGGCGGGGAGCGAACGGGGCCGGGGGCGACGGGGCGGGGAGCGACGAGGGCGGGGAGCGACGGGACGGGGAGCGACGGGGGCGGGGAGCGCGGGAACGGGGAGTCGACGGCGGGGAGCGACGAGGCGGGGAGCGACGGGGCGGGGAGCGACGGGGGCGGGAGCGACGGGGCGGGAGCGACGGGGCCGGGAGCGACGGGGAGCGGGGAAGCGACGGGGCGGGAGAGCGACGGGGCGGGGAGCGAAGGGGAGGGGCAGAACGAGAAGGGAAGTGGCAGGGCGGGCAGCGACGGGGCGGGGAGCGACGGGGAGGGGCAGACAAGAAGGGAGATTGGCAGGGCGGGAGCGACGGGGCGGGGAGCGGACGGGGCGGGGAGCGACGGGACCGGGGAGGACGGGGCGGGGGCGACGGGGCGGGGGCGACGGAGGGCGCGGAGCGACGGGAGCGGCGCGACCGCAGACGACGGCAGGAAGTCTCCTGGCGATGGGAAGCAGCGAGAAGGGAGCGGAAAAAAAGCAAAGCGGCGCGCAACAAAGCCAGCGCAGGGAGGGGCAGAGCCGAGGAGGGAAGTGGCGGGGGGCGGGACGGTGAGCACGAGGCCAGGAAGTGTACGATGGGAGTGAGAGACGGGAGCCGGAAGAGCGAGCGGGCCGGGCCGCAACGGGCACCGGACGCAGTAGCGCCGAGAGGGCAGAGAGCGTCGGGGCGGGGCGGGCCACATTGGGCAAGCCGAACGCAGAGTGAATGAAGATCGTGGGTGTCCCAGTAGGCAGCTCGGCGTGCAGCCCCTGCCCAGCCATGTGCCTCCCGAAGCCCAGCCGCGCGGGGGCGGACAGTGGGCGGGGGCTGCGCTGGGGGCAAGAGGCCGCAGAGGGGCAGCCTATCGGGGTGTGGGTGAGAGGATGTGGCAACTGGGAGAGGTCACAATCGAATGACGCTCTGCCAGTGAGGAGGGAAGGGAAAGGAAAGGAAACGTAAGGGAGGGAAGGGGAGGAGGGAAACGAGGCTAAATAAAGCAAAGAGCAGGAGCGGAAGAGCGGAAGCGACGTCGCGGAGGGCATCTAGTCCTGTTAGGAGAGTGTGGGTGGGCCGCCGAGAGGCGCCACATGGCCTGAGCAGCCTCGCGATAGCGGCGATTTCCGATATATCGACCCCTCTCGAGTTACGAAACAGCGGCCCGCGGCAGGCGGGCGGGCCTCTTCCCAAGCGCGCGCCCGCCCGCCCGCGCAGTTTACATTCAGGCAGGAAAACATGGCTCGACGGCGAGACGCAGTGTTTTGTTCCTATGGCACTAGAACAGTGAGGAAAACGGAGTTTACTCAAGAAGGAAGCAGGGCGACTTAGCTGAAGATCAAAAGGAAAGGCAAAAGAAAAAAAATCTCTGTATTATGAATCAAAATATTGGGGAAGCGCGGTATAACGGCGTAAACGCCTTAAAGGATCTTCGCTCAAGCTGCAAAGTGTTCGGGGCTTCACTAACCTCTTCGGCGGATCGATTCCAGAGTCCGACCAGCTGCAAGTCAGGGACATACAAAGAGTAGCACCGGGCCAAGCGTGGCGCGCTTTGGTGCAGTCGGCGGGGCGGCGGCGGCGGCGCTTGCAGTGACGACGTGATTTTTTTCATTTACCCTTCTTTCTTTCCTTTTCCTTCGTGTGCCTATGCCTTGTCTAAGTTCTACTCGGGGCATCTCTTTAATGAAAGGAATTTTAAGATAGCGCAGCCGTATATTATGTAAGCTGTTTGTAAAGTGGGCAGCATCACCGACTATTACTTGTAATTACATTTGAGTCTTCTTGCGTGTTCATACGGAAAGGTTAAACATTATTATATGTTGAAACTTTTTTTGTGAATATGCATAAATATACTTCAACATTGAAAGTAAAGTAAATCTGACACGATGCACCCACATTACAATATTTGGTGATGGATTTTTTATAATAATAATAATAATAATAATAATAATAATAATAATAATAATAATAATAATAATAATAATGTAATAATACAAGTAAGCAGTGAATTCAATGAGCCATTTATTTACACTTCAATTCTCTGTGGGCAAATGAGACATTATGAGCGTTTTCTTAATTTTGTGAATGATTGACTTGCATGCAAATTACTATAATTTCCATTGTGGGTTGTTCACATACTCTCTTGATAAATATTGATTTGATACAACCTCACTGAAGTATAATTCTTGGAAATTCTAAGAAACAAGGCTGCAGAAAAAAGTAATGCCCAATTATGCAAACGGGCAGCTGCGGTCTTGACGGTAAAGAAAAGTTCAAATAACCTCTTATCTTGATAAGAACCGAGTCTCCAAATTCACGCATTTCACATTTTCGAGACGTTCACCAAATGCTATTATTTTCTTAATTACACCTTGGAAGGGCCAGTAATATTGATATTGGAGTTATAAGAAGGCTGCAGGTACCAACAAACTAAACTCTCAGGTTTCGAGAGAGTTTAATTTGTTGGAACTAATTGGACCCACCTATTACCACTAAACAACCACTACCATCTTCAGAATACAAAAATGTTTCTTGTTCATAATGTTTATTGATTTTCCACAAATGTTTTATGCCAACAGGTAAAAAGGGACAAGAGATATATTGGGCCACGATCGCATATTGAAAAGCCCTCATTTAAGAGAAAGACGCACGGAGTAAATACATAGATGTTGGGCTCACTTTGTTGCGCAGTATCCTTCAATGGGATCATTCACCAATTTTTGACATTACGTACATAAATACAAAAATTACGAAACCCAAAATGTTTGTATTTAACTTTCATGATAGAAATACATGTTAAAGTTTAATCTTATTAACCGTGCGTGTATTTAACACTACCTAACGAGACCACTGGCTGACGCCTCTCTCCTCTCCTCATCCACCAGCTCCGAGCGCCACTATTTATTTACTCGTACACCACGGACGGACGTCAGACTCGCAGCCCGACTCCGTGCGTCCCGAGGCAAGGCTACGCCGCGCGTATTGGATCGGGGTCGAACATCGCTTTCGCCGTCGCTGTCGCCGGTCGTCGTCGTCGTCGTCCTCGCCCGCCTCCCCTGCCACCGCTAGCGCTAGCGCCGTTGCCGCCGCCGCCGCCGCCGCCGTGACGCCGTGCGCGCGCGGCGCCGCGACGCTGTCACCACTGTTCCCGCGCCGCGCCGCCGCCGCCACTCGGCGTCGAGAGTCATTTGCATGCAACGCACGCACCGGTGCGCGCGCGCGCGTGCGCGTGCGACTCGGAAATGTCGACGCATTCGGGTCCTTGTAATACATTCAAAGACGCATTCCATTCCGTCAATTACGGAATGTTTTTTTCAGTAGGCTAGCCTCTCGCTGGGGTTGTACGACAGGGCCATGGCGTGAGTAATTGCTAGGTATCGCCGTACGCAAACGGCACATAATGCGTTTGAAAATACAGGCATTTAAAAGAAGGTTGAGAAAATTATTCATCTACACAAAATAGATTTAGTTTTGAAATGACATAGGGCTCACACAATATCAGTGACCCTTCAATAAGCTCGAACTCAGCTACAATCGTTAGATGATAGCCATTGACAATGTCGTAAAGGTTGAGAATTATTGCAAATATACCCGTTACATTACTTGTGAATAATAATTTATAGGTTCGCCTCAAAGAAGAAGCAATATAAAAATCCTACTTCTAGAATACAAGGTAAGTCCCAATCTAACGCTAAACTTAGCTCACAAGAGAGTGATCAGAAAAGTGTGCGATTCATAGCCAATGTAAATTGAAAGAAATATTTACAATATTATTGAAAATGTGCTTACTTATTAAATCGATCTATGAATTATTTATATTTTAATATAATATTTTTGGCGGTCGCTGCCAGCCAGCACCATTCACGTCATGACCCTGTTAATTGAAAACACACAATATACGCCCAGCATACTCTTCATTTCACGACTCTAATTCAAATTTTATAAGACATGTAGATAACACTCGCGCGCGCACATTTGCGCACGTCAAAGACGTGAACTCACAAGTTCAAGGAGAAGAAACGTATATTATTCAGGATACCTATGCAGTTAAAATTCCTATGAAAATCCACACAGTACTTTCTGCGTGATCTATTGCGGGTTTCCGCCGCAGCTGGTCTCTGTGAAAAACAAACAAATGAAATTTACGCGCAATAAAAGAATCTCGTTCGGTGAAATCAATATTCGTTCCGTTGCCAGAGGGTAGTTTCATTCGCGAGCCGTATGAGTGTGATATATTTCTCTGACGTTTTCCTACCTTCAAAATCTGAAGTGCAACTTGACGCAGCCAAGAGGAAGTGATACATTTTTGATCTAAGGTAATATCATGTGCGCCTTGAAAACCACCGATAAATTCACCAGTCGTGGGATAAATCCACCATTCGTGGAGTGGCAGGTGGAATTTTCTGGGATGCGCAAAGCATGAGTGGCGTAAACGATATTTTTTACAAATACTCCACGAGTAGGAATAATTAATAATTGAAAAATATTACGTCGTACCCATAATAAATATAAGTTAGTTTACTGTCACCAAAGCAATATAAATGTGTTAAACAATATTAAAGCAGATACAGACTTTATACTTGTAACCAATTATAACAACTCATAACCACACTGTAATTGATTGGCTCAGAGAAAAGTCCCCTTTTGGTTTATATTGCCCATTTATAATTTAAAGCAATTAAATTATTGCCCTTTCAAACTCAATTCTTCAAAAACAATACAGAAAGAGCAATTTTCTTACATATTTCACTGATATGACTTATGACTGTCTGTTAACATGAAATCTGTTAACTTAAATCATCAAACTCTGGTATTCCATTATGAACCTAACCTAATTTTCAAATAATTATAACGTAGTGTATTTATGAAAAATCACAAAATACATATATCGGTATATTAATCTATTAATGATTTTGAATTTACATAAGATTTATTTTATATGCAGCATAGATATCCTGAATGTAATTAGCGAAATAACTCGCACAGTAGTTTGCAATATCTGAGACAGCAGAGTGCTTTGCTCTAGCGAGTGAAGCGGTGTGGTGCATTGACGAACTTGCAGATATGCATTCAAATAGTACTCTTAAAGGGGATTGACGGTCATATCAGCAGTTGAAAAAAAAGCGAAAAAGAACGCGAATGTTATAAGATTTTGACTTTAAAATACAGAAATGAATGTGAGACGCGAATAAATGAAACAAAATCTGGGAGTGTGGTGAGCTGCCAGTGAACTAAGAGTTGAATTCAGAAAGGGAGGCAATCAACGAAAAAGCAATCATGGTGTCGGGGCATTCTTATCAGGAAGCGGTAAGGAAGAAGACACCAATAAAAAAGCATAGAGAGACGTTTATTAAGAACTTTCAGGAGATGTGCAAGAGAACGTAAACAGAAATAGTTAATTTTGTGTTAAATATATTTTTGAATGTGCACGAGAAGCAAGAAGTGAACCTGCATAAAAAGCTACCTCATTCCCGATTTTACAAACATATTACATGAAAAATGCATTCAAATATTTTGTTTTTGGCACTACAACACCTCTGATCTTAAAAATCAGCGAAAGGGAGGGAAGAACGGACATTGCGAGATAATCGAACCAGGTGCCCTGAAGGTGACGAAGGGTGTGGTTTGTGCCAAACGGAAACCATCCCAACCATAACAAGAATAACAAGTTGCCTCGGATTTTTCTGTTCGAATCTCAGGTAAGATCAATGCTTGTTGAAGTTTGAAATTGATAAAATACCAAAAGAACACTGGAAACGTTATCATATTTAAAATCTTTTTAAGTACCAAGAATCAAAGCTAGAGACGAGGCAGGTTCGCTAGGCGGTCCGGGAGACGCTTTGAGCAAGGTTTTGAGGCTCACATTTTAACTGTCAAGCTGCAGCCTTCACGGCGCAATGCGGAATTACGCCGAAATGAAGCATCGAAAAATGGACTGAAGCACTGGCACCGCTGCGCAAAGAACGTGGAGGTCTCGGATAGTCACGTTAAAACAGGCACCACCGTCGCCTGTTTGTCCGTTGTCCATTGTTACTTGTCGGAAATTTTTGTAACATGGTCGCAGCAGGGATCGAGCAGATAGGGGCACTTGGCCCTCCAAAGAGAATCGATAAGAAGTTAAAAAAATCATATAAATTTACAAAATGTGTCCAAGAAAAAAAATTGCAATATACATTAGATTTTTATTCAAAATATTGACTTTATAAAGGAATGTGACTATTCTTAAAACATTTTGCCTCCGTCAAAATTTATGTTCACGACAAATAATCTTCCCTTACCGCATACCTAATCCTAACCGCTTCCACACTCTCTTTCACCACCTTTCCCCACGAAACTGAGGCAGCTTCTTACGCAGGCGGACCAAGCCGGACTGTGCGAGCGAAGCGTAGGCGTCGCCAGCCGGCGCGAGGACGCACCTGCAGGTCCAGGTCGGTGCTGTGGTTCATCTTGCGCGGGGACTCCTCCAGGTCCAGCCCGTCTCGGTCGCGGTCCACGGCGACTCCCCCGCCGCCGCCGCTGCCGCCGCCTCCGCCGCCCCCGGGGGCGCCCTTGGCCAGGCGCTGCCCCACGTAGGCGGAGCCCGCGCCAGCGCCAGCGCCGGCGCCCGCGCCAGCGCCCGCCACCGCCCCGGCGCTGCGCACGTCACGCCAGTGTCACGGAGGAGTACTCTCAGCAACAGATTCTACGTACTACAAAGCGGGCGGGGGAATTGATGTTACGAAGGCTGCACTGACACCAAGGTTGACACGGAGGTAGGCTGTATACGTTAGGAGTGGCTAATAACATTTCCATTACTGAGGAATAGCCACGGTACTGTCATTTTAATCCAGCACGCTATACCTAAACTACGATACGCAATAAGCATACACTATTTAAGAGTAAAACAAACATTTTAAATTTACAATCAGCCTCCAGATTTTGCCCGCTGCTTCCATACGTTAAAAGGATTTCCGTAAAATGAGTGGACGAGAGTCTATCTTTGTGCTCAATGTCGTACCTAACCTTTTGGCTGTATCAAGAACGGTTGAGTACAATGGCGAGTGCAGCCTAATCATGAGAGAATTTTCAAATGTTCCCATCCAAGTAGAATTGGGACGCTAGAAAAATAACAGTTCTTCGTCATAAATTCTGCAATAAAATCGTGTTAATTATGTAGCAAATACAATTAAACCATGAAATTTATTTTCTCGTTTTAAGTAATAATTATTTATTGTGCCAACCGTAAATGACAATAATGATTATCTGCGTAACTGGATGAATAACAATGACAAAAAAAGCCGAGGTACCGAAACGATTCAACAAAGATAATTTGGATCAAACATCGACTAATAAAATGATTTGAAAAATTAAAATCGCGGCTCCGTCTCATTCCAAATTCACCACCGCCGCGTTTCCGCGAACGCGAAGCGCCGTACCCTGCGCCGGCGCCCGCGCGCCCGCGCCGCCGCAGCGCCCCGCCCGCGGCCCAGCCGCCGCCGCGCCCACGCGCCTGCCGCCCGGCAGCTCGTACTCCAGCCTCGCGGAAGTCAGCGGCGCCCAGCGAGGCCGGCCCGGCCCCGGGCGACTTCTCCCCGCCGCCGTTGAGGGTGGGCCGCCGCCGCCGTTGCCGCTAAGACGGGCCTGAAGAATCCTCCAGCACTTTCCAAACACGTACACAAGGTGTAACAAACTGTTTGCACTAATCATCTTCCGATTTGTGCCTCAAAGCAGAATGGACTATACAAATCGATTCTATACAAACAAACTCTTGGAGATAATTGCAATTATTACTTTTAATCATATAATAATTTTAATAAGTGTTAAAAATATAATAATTAATGTCGATTTCATATTACTGATTATTGTTGAATTTTCAGTAGGTTTATTGATAACATGGTAGAACTGTTGGGTTCGTAGGCTTCCGCGGCCGGAGTCAAGGCATTCTTGGCTATCCGGGATGAAGATGCGTCTGCGTCAATTGTACTGACGTTTCGGACCATCTTGCTGCCTTCGGGCCTTCTCAGGAAGCTATACTCAGAATATCTTGCTCTTGGCTTTCTTCAGAGCTATACTCAGAAGTATAGCTGTGAAGAAGGGCCACAGCAAGATGGCCGAAACGTGTCAGTACAATTGACTGAGACTCGCTTCATCCCGGATAGCCAAGAATGCATTTAAAACGTATTATATGACACTGTGATTGGACAAAGATCTACAAAGCATCGAAAACCCAATGAACCTCAAGGTATTTACCCGCGGACGGGTCTGTCCACTCGCGTAAATGAAGACCAATTGGAAAGGAAAAAAAACATCTACCACCAGAATGCGGTGAAGTGAATGACATGGTGGCTCGGTGCGTAGTAGTTACCTGCGCGTCTCCGAGAATCGTAGAGGTAGTCGAACGGAGCCGGCGGCCGCTGCCCGGGCGACGGGCTGGTGGAGGCGGGCGCCAGGGGCCCGGCGTCGGCGCTGGCAGCACCGCGCTGCAAGGCGCAACGCCGAAGGGGGGCGCGGTCAGCCGGGGCCCTCGCGCGGGGCGCGCGGCGGCCACGCCCCCGCCGCCGCGGGGCACGCCGCTGTCCCGCGACCCACCGCGCGGCCATGGCACCCCCCTTCCCCCCCCACGAGGTTGAAACTGCACCATCCGCTCTTCGGCACGACAGAAAACACCCACAATTTGAAACAACCTTGCGCTATCATCTCGAAACCATTATGGAGTGTCCCCCACGACGGAAATATGTTCCGTTCAGTAACTGATATGTGTGTTGTGTGCCCGTTCTTCCGGGTAAGCAATTTTAAATAAATTGTTCAGAGAAGTACTAATCACTCCGGCCGCGAATATCACACAGACGGCCAGACTCCTGAATCTATTCAGAACATCGGTCGACTCGGAAGTGTATTAGACAAAGCTACTGAACATACAGTAGGAAAGGTGGGCGCGATTCCTGGTGAGTCTGTCTAATACTTTATTAATTAATTAATTTGAAAAAAATTAGTAATTTGAAATAACGCTTGGGTTCATTACGAAACTCTCGGAACAGGCAGTGTTGTACGAGCATTCGTTGAAAACATTTGGAAAAATAAGAAAATTGAGAGTGATTAAATGAAAATGTTGGAACTACGTCTACATCAGATCGTTTTATGCGAGTAAAAGTAAGTGATTTAGTTGCAAAACATTTTTGGAAAGTTACAGCAAAGACATCTAAGACATTTAAAGTCGAGTTAGTAATCAGTATAAGTATTAAAGTGAGCTAAAATTAAACTAAACTAAAACATTTAGTGTAGTAATAAAGCATGGCAAAGATTTCTTTAAGATCGAAATGTGATGAAAGGCGAGTTATTTTAAATGTGGATTTATTTCAGCGCCCATGCCTCCAGAAAACCAATTCCTGATGTTGTTATTACTATTAATCCAAACTGTCCATGCTGCTACTGACAGGACTGAGAAAGAGCCGGAGGCAGGCGTTCGCCCTCGTGAATGCAATCTAATTGCCACCTTCGCGCATCCCCGCCGGCATCTGTCATTGCTCCCTGGGGACTCGAGCGCTGAGATTCGTCGATCCGTGTTCCATCCATTATTAATGCGATGCATTATTAATTTATCTGTTTCACGACTCCGTTCGAATACCCTTTCCACTGATCGTTTCCTGAATTATTATGATTACCTTCATTTTTCGTACATTTTGCTAAATATAAAATACCTTCAATACTTAAATAACATTTTCTATTCTCAGAAACTGAAGAAAAAAGCAACAAAATGTTATGTCTGATAATATACTAACTTTGATTTTTAAGTGCCTCCAAAGTGAACAAGGCCTAAATAACATTAGTAAAAATCAGGAAATTATTGGAAAATGTTACTCTTTTTGTGGATCAACAAATCCCTCAATACAAAATGATCTATGTTACTCACTGTTTCTGTTTGATACATTATCTTTAGAACAAATCATGACAAGTCAATTCTAGGAACATAACTGGGATGTACTCGCGAGTTGGTTATACTGCAAGATAGAGTACTTTTCAAGAAAATGAAGTTTGTAATAACTATACCAATTAAAAAATTTTTGACAACAGTACAGTTGGTCGAACTTCTTTACCCTCACCAAAGCGCCAGCCAGACCATGAAGTAACTGCTGCGTTGAAATACATTAGTCAAATTTATTTGTTACATTTTAAAACAACGTGCATATGTATTATTGCATTCAAAAATAATGTTTCTGCCATTCGACGTCCAGAAACACGCTAATGTACAAAGAGCAAGGAATAAACTTTCTAATGCACAATATAAAGTATAGAGAAAAATAAGGGAATGTAAAAGAACAAGTAAAAAATAAATAGACTAGAATATATAAAATATAGAGAAAGCGTAGCAGAAACATGCTATTTAAGACATAATGCGAAAATGGAAGTCAAGTTCTTCACCCAAATACTAGGCGAAATGAACTTCTTTTCACACCATTCAACACACCATTCGAAAACGTCCCTGATTTCTGAGATTCTCTATTTGGCTTGTTCGAAAACACGTAACGCTATGGGGCTCTCGCGAGCGGTACAAGCCGAATTAAATAATATATAATTAGCGAATTTTTTCGCCAATTTTTTTCATAACAGTGTACTGAAATTATTAATCCTAATCATGTAAAAACTAGATTAGTCCGGCTGGCGCTTCGTTCAAGTAACCTAATCAGAACTTCTTGCATATGAACGGCACACGTTATGACAATTCTGTAATCCTATATGTTGACTTGTAGCATTGAGATATTTTTAAAGTACTAGAAAATAAGCGAACCTCCAAAAATATTCGCGCTAAAGACGTTTGAAGAGTTAATCACTTAACAACTGGTTAAAAATTGTTGAAAAGTCAGGAAAATTAACATCATAGCTATAGTTCATAGTCTTAAAATCAAGAGAATTACCTAGAGTTGCAAATAACAACATACTCAGTTTCCGACAAGTACAAAAGTTCCTATATTTTTTTTGCGTTTACTTTGAGGTACAAGTTTAGACTACTTACATACATTAACGATGTGTTAACTTCCGTTTTCTAGCATGATGGCCATTTACATATGTTACCTAATGTGCCTTGAATCTCATAACGCAAACTTTCGGTCACACTCACAAACCCAAGACGTCACAGTCTCTTGCAATAACGCCACATACGCTTATACACATCAAACCTTCGGTACGTTCCGTCAACCGTCATACGTTTTTATTTTATTTTCGTGAATTCTACTCAAATGATAAATTACTGACGAAGAGTTGCCGAAGGTTCTCTCCGCCTTGAGAGTACGAATACGATGTCCCCGCTGTAAAAGTGTAAATATTGCCCTAGGATACAATACACGCGTTGGTGCTTCATTTTCGGTTTTCCTCCCTTTAAATATCGCGATGAAAAAATAATAATAAAAAATATCGTCTCCAACGCTTTCTGCAAATGGATACGCGCTCCGCTGCGTCGTGCGTTGTGGTTTTAAATAACCTCCCTTTAAATATCGGTATTAAAAAGAAAATAATAATAAAAAGAAAAAGTTCTCCGACGCTTTCTGCAAACGGACACGCGCTCCGCTCCGCAGCGCGCCCCAGCTGCAGCCGCGCGGGCGGGTCGTCTCGCGGGGGCGCGCACGACGCACCTGCGGGAAGCCCGGCCGCGGCGGGTAGGTGGAGGGCGAGCTGAGCAGGCTGTGCGCCGACGGCAGCACCGGGTGCGCCGGCGCGTCGGCCGGGCGCGGCCCGTAGCGCCGCGGGGAGCCCTCGTACTCGGCGATGGGCACCGTGCCGATGACGCGCGCCACGCGCCCGCCCAGCTCCGGCGACAGCGAGTCGCGGTCCAGGTCGGACGCCGACGTCACCGCCTGCGGCACGCGCCGGTCACACGACGGCAGGGAACGGGGAGAGCGGGGGCGGGCAGGTCGAAAGGGGGGGGGGGGCTAGCGCCGGCGAGTGCAATGGAAATTCGATATAGTCGAATGCGGTGGAAATCTCAATGTCTTTGACAAGAGAATCAAATGAGAATCGAAGGACATATAGAGTGAAATAATGTTTTGGGTGCTAAGGAAGATTACAAAACGAGAACGTATCTCCGATATGAAATACGTGTTCGAGACAAATGTGAAACCCCGCTGCCTGATGGCAACGACAAGATGACAAGATGAGCGAACGACTACTTGACTCTAGTAAGAGAGTGGGTGTCTTTCTTGGGAGCACAAAAAGTGAGAGTGTGTAGAGGGGTCGAAAGACTTCAAAGCGAATGACAGGAGAACCATAAGAGAATATCGGGGAGTTCCAAAGGAATGCGATTGGTATTCGATATTAAACATTTTTTTTTGCTACGAGATACACGGATTTTTCTATGCAGGATTGGGACAACGTATAAGCAATTCCTGGATAATACAAGAGAGTCTGCCTATATCTCAGATAAAAGCAGGAAAACTGCGTGAAAAAAAGGAGTTTAAACGTAATGTAAACACAATGGGAGGCGAAAGTTGAAAAGAAGAGATTCAACGACACTCATTAGAATGAGATTGACATTCCACTCATGTGGGACAGAAGCTCGACACGATTTTATTAAGACCCTGTTAAATTCCAACTGGCCAGCATGGAAAAGTGGCAGGGAGGCTAAATCTCCTTTGAGAGCTGTGAAAATCCTGCGGGATGAGTTCGAAGAGAACTAAACGAATGGGAACAGAATTAAACGAATGGGAGTTAAAAGGGAATTAGATCGGAGTAGGGTACCAGTGCGACGATGAGCAAGAAAAAACTGTTGTGCGCGTCTAGCAAAGAGTCTGCAAGAAAACGATGAATTAACGAAAACGTTTCGAGAGTGTCTTGTAGAAAATTCACAAATTACTCAGTAGGGTTGGAATACCGTCAGAGGGGAAGTAGCAAAGGCGTAATCACAAACACGTCAATTTCCCTAGGCGTGCTAAGCTGGAAACAAGAGTGGCGGAGGCAACTATCTTCCTTGGGGCCCCTTATTTACAACTTTTTTACCCGCATAAGACACATTTATTAGAATAACAATTTTAAATATTTTTGAGCAATTGTAGGAGGAATCGAGTCAGACTTGGCCGCATTTTTTCGAGGTGCCTTTGTACATTTTTGAAGTTGTTTTCGGCACTGTTAGGATTTTGATGCATTTTTACGAGATCTATATGAAGGGATCGAGTATAAGTATGCCCTATTCGAACGTTTCTTCGCGTTTTACCTCGAATTCGTTTGTTAAATAAAAATTAATTTCTATTATTGACAGAGAGAACGTCAACAACTTAATGACTACACAGTACAGCAATTGTTGACTTTCACAACTAATTAAAACGGCGGAATATTAAAAATTTTATATTCCTAGCCAGTAAGTCAATCATACGCGCTGAAAATTGATACGGTAACAATTAATTACGGTTAGACTACTGTGTCCATCGATTTTTGATCTTCGTAAATTTTAAAATATACACGTTATACCATTTTTATCAGAGAGTTAACAGATTCATTAAAATGAAATGTTATATTACGTAAGGCTACGGGGCCCTTATCAATGTTCAGGATTGCCACGGCTCCCCTTTAGCATCGTTGATGTTAGGAAGGAGAATATTGTTGAATTGTGCAATATCAGACTAACGAGAAGGCTCGATGGCAAATAAACACAGCAAGCATATGGTAGTATTACAGCCGTGACGTTGGAGGCCAAAGAGCAACGGCGTGAACCCAGAGGGCCGTCCTACGAGGGAGCTTATCGCCGTCACTAAGAAACGTTATCAGAACATGCATGTTCCACCAAGCTTTGCGACTCAGGTTTGAAAATAATTGCCTTTGGAGATTTTCCTGGCGTAATAGCTTCATTTTTATCACGGAACATTCTCGCATTAACAGCAAGCGTGTTCTCACACACGATCACCTACCACGGTGAATTCTGATAAAGGCAATAATTACATGAACTAAGATATGATCTTGATAATCCTATGCTCTTATTTTTAAACGTAAAAGCTTCATTCACATAAAGTGTAGCATGTTAGCGAAAAACGAATTTGCTCCCACGTGATTATAAATATTAAGAAAAATTACGTTATTTTTTTCACGGCGAAATATAACATGAAATGAATATCATATGAATGTTCTTAATAATGGTACATTTTCCCTAGATGAACGTAACATAAAATTACAAATCATTACAGCACATTATCTGTTAGCACATTTTTGAAAGGTTACAAATTATCAAGTTTTGAATAGACATTTAAAAAGAATAAATCTATTTCACGTTTAGGACACAATACCCCCTGTGCATAAATGGTGAAAACTATCAAACTAAGTTCTCCAGATATTCAGAAATATATTGTCACTTGCCTATCCATATTTTGCAATGGAGACAGGTATGAACCTGCGATTAGCCGGTATCAGACGTTAATCTTGAAAATACGAAATCGATCCGAAGAACAATATTGCTTAAAGTAAACTCCAGTAACAATACACGATTTGGATTCGTTAGTTCAGTAGAATATTTTTTAAATTATTTACTCCATCCTAAAATCTCTCTAAATATGCAGAATTTGAGATGACTACGGTATCTATTAATGTTACATTTTTACAAAAAACGAGTTTTCACTCACCGCAGGTGGACCGGTAGATCTAGGACCTTAAACTCATCGTTGATTAGACCTGCTCAGCAGGCAAACTCATGAAGAAAAATAGGCTTACTTTGCCACTTTCAAAGAAACTCTGAAGCAAGCGAAACAACAGAAGCGTTTCGAAACAGTCCATACGTAATACGAGCAAGCAAGATTTTAAAAACTTCGCGAAGAGGGCATAGCGTCATTCATGAGCAAAGCGACAGCAAGTGAAAAAGACTAGGCGGTGGGAGACAAAGAAAACGCCTTCCTTTTAGGCTTTGTTTGGTTACGGCGATCATGCAAAGCGACTGATACGCAGAAAAAAGTTTTAAAATTGGATGAAACAGGCAAAAGAGTGCAAAGGAAGCGTGCAGAAGAAAGAATAAGAAAGAACTCTCCTCACATTGAAGCTGACGAAACTGAGGGATGTGAAGGAGAAGTTGCGACACGGCGGGTTCAACGGGCACGACGAAAGTTCAGTGGGTTGAACAGAGTCGGGAAAGCGGAAATACGGAGAGGAAACTTATGAAAGGAAAAATATTCGAAGTTTGAGTTCTCGGGTAAAGTTACACTGAAATACTGAAAGGATTAATACAATACAAAATTCTTAACAAATATCTGCGAGCCTTACTGCCTCGGTAAATAAACCAACACTTGTAGCAAATGCTCACCACAATGAAGTAGGCACACAAATTCAAAATATGGTAGTATCTAATTTAGAATGTATATGTTGCGAACATAATGAATAAGATATACCTTTTAAATTGTGAAACATTTAAGTAACGAACACATTTTTTTCCATTGTGTATCTCTATGTACGAGTACATGTGATGGGAAAAATATGTCAGGCAAACATATACGTAAGAAAGGAACAAATACAAATCGGAGTGAGAAAAGTATTGTAACATTTAGTGGTGAATGTATATACTACCTCTAAAAAAGTTTTAATTGAAGTTATTTAGAAAACGTTTACGAGAATCTGTAATAATTTTTCTTTTTTTTTTTTCCTTTGTAATTTTTCTCGATCGGTGATTCAAATCACATCTGACGAAGCCAATTTTTCAGAAAAAGAGCCTAGGAAATATTATTGATGGATATAGTTACTACTAAATGCAAATATTGGACGAATGAATAATTAAATACAGATTTAATGTGTTTGAAACCCGCAATGAAAACTGACAAAAAGGTCGTACTACACTTTCACCAGCAATGTGACAAATGAGGTTGTTATTGTTTCTTTTCAAGAAATAATAATTGTGTGCTTCAGGGTTTTCCAAATCGTTCTCTGGCAATTCTTTTACAGTAAAAATGTCTCTCTCTTAAATATACAACAAGTGTGTCCCAAGTACATACGAAATATTGTTTCTAGGTTTCTAGAGGCATTACTTTGAGATTTAACATATTTCCGTTCGTCTTGGCAAAATGACGCTAGAATGTCTTAAGAGTACTATCTGAATAGATGATTTCAAAGGATTTTTTTTCATAGCTAGTATATTTTACTTTCCCCTATACGTGCGTATGTACGGAGAAATATACGTACTGTAAAGTTATGTGATGCTGCGAAAAATCGATTTCGAGATTTCAACGCAAATAAAAGTTTTGGGTTTCCCTGATACCGAAAAAGTGATTATTTTCAAATCGTCCGTCTGTCCGACGGTCTGTCTGTCCATCTGTGAACACCATTTGCGCCAAAAGCGTGCGTATGTTTCCAAATAAAGAAACTCCTGAAAAACTTTCTTTAAAATTCGAAAGCACTTTACATGAAACCCCTGGGACATTTTCAAAATTTTCTCAAAAAACGGCTTCAAATATTTTCTTAAAACTTTTCGAACGAATAGTGCTAATTGAACTCTTTAATATGACGTAAACTTAATTTAAGAGTACTTTTTTGTTTTTTCAAAAAGTACCCAAATGTAATTTTTTTGAAAGAACTCTCACGCTGTTAATGTGCCCATTTTCAGGAATTTATAGACATTATTGTATTTGTGAGTGAAAGTGCTTCAAATGAATTCTAATGAAGTTTTTCGAAAACTCGAAAACAGCTTCCAATTTTGAATATATATTAGCGCTTAAGTACCATTTTCTTAAAAAGGCTCTATTTTTTTCAAAGAAAATTGCCATTGGACCAAAAGAAATATAAATCTAATACGGGAAAGTCAGTGCCATTCTGTAGCACCAATCGATTAGTAATTCTCTTTATTTATTTCGCCTTGGACAGCTATATTTTAATTTGCTCACTGATAGAAAAAAAGAAAGTAAACAAACGATATCAGTTCAGAAGTCAAGGATATCGGGGCATAATCACCCCGAACGGTGTTTCATTTTAGACCGTCAGTCACGCTCAGTGACAGCTCACTGATAGTTACGACAGTTAACCGATACGGTACTTGTTACTCGGCTGTTTAGAGGTAACTGGACATTAGTTTAAGACCTACCGTATTACAATTCATACAATCATTTACTGGCCATTTTAAAAATAATAATTGACTTCACACTTGAACGATTTAATAATTAAGAAGTAATAAATTTAATTAATTAACGAAGAACATTAACTCGAATCGAAACAGGACAAAAAAAATTGAAATTCTTTACAAAATTCTATCTCGTATTCAATATCTTATGTTTTTAGATTGTTACTACAGATCACGAATACGTACGGAAGTGCGCTATTTTGTAATACTGTACATTTATTATTATCATCTCAGTGACGAGGCTCAGGCCATAAGTACTCACTTGAATGAATTTCCATTTCCGAATATTACAACAGGTGAACATGAAATTGCGTTATCGCCAGAGAACGCTCGGAAAGCGCGGGGTGAGGAGCGAGCAGAGCATGCAGAGAGTGGTGGGGAGGTCGTACCTTGAAGAAGTCGGCGGCGGTGCGGTGGTAGGTGGGCGGGCTGGGCGACGCGGACGAGGAGGCGGCGCCGGGGGCGTCGTGCGCAGACGCCGCGCCGGCCACCGCCGCCGCCAGGTCGAGGCGCAGCCCGCGCCAGTCGGCGTCGCCGAGTCGTCGACCCCACCACGGTCGCCGCCGGCCACCAGCGCCACGTTGAGCGGGGGCGCGGCGACAAGCCCACCCCCGCCCAACCCCGCGCCGCCGCCTGAGCCCCACCGCCCCGCGCGGTGCCGCAACCGAGCGCACCTCCGTCGAGAACACCGTCTCCGTCACCTCGCGCGCGCCGCGCCCCTTGCGCGGCTCCGCCCCGCTCCTGCGCACACGCGCGCGCGCGCGCCCCCGTCAGCCACGCCACAACTCCTCGGGGCAGCGACACAGATGACGACTGAATAGCATCGCTACGGGGCCACATGGTACCAACAAAGCAGAATGTTTTCTAAACGATAAGTGATCATCACACGAGGCAAAAGACACCTTTTTTATGATTTAAACGGTGATTTTTGACGTACGATCAGCTGCGACGCGGTTATCCTATCTGGACCTTCAATACCTGACATAAAGTCGAAACGAAGCTCCCGATGGGATGATAGCGTCCGGCTAATCGTACGTCAGACGTCGCCCTATTTAAAACGAAGTATATTATCTAAGCATTTTTAATAACAATCTCAACCCGTAGGGTTCGGCAAACCAGAAAACAGGTGACGAAAAACTTTTTCACTACGCGAGGTGGGAAGCCATCACCCACCTCTTGTAGTAAAAAATTCACATGCATTATGCTGGACCGTCTTCGGGGCCCGAGAACTGAAATTGTTTTTATTTTTCCATTAACAAAAGAACATACAATAATAATAAAATTTATTTAATGAGGGAATATAAAGTATCCATTTAAGTTGCTCAGGGCCGATTATCCTATGATATACATAATAAATCTGAATAAGGTGACTAACTGAAAATATTGCATTAAAACGCTTTCATATTTAAGAAGACAACATGCATTCATAATGACAAAAATTGCACAATATTGTTTTTAAACTGAAAATAACAAAAACATTTAATTAATTTCACAATTTTCAATAACTATACATATGTACGTCTTCTTCACCTTTCAAATAACAAGTCCTTACTTTAAGTCCAATTTCATGTAATTGAATTCACTACTTCGACTCTCCCAAATATTCTAGTCCATTTAATTTTCGTAATACTGAATCAAATACACCGCCAATATGACATTGCATTTCTGCCATTAAATTCTCTTCTCAATTATATCATCTGACTGAAATGTTCCATTAAATGTTTCGTCCTCAATCCAGGACGTATATTTTCTTTCTGGTTGTTGATTTTTCTTCCTCAATGTCTTCTCAACTCGGCAGTCTCCATGACATCAAAACGTTGCCAATCTGCGATTTTATACCAGGCCGTGTCTTTACATTTGATCTTGACGTCAAAATTGACGAAATATAACACTTAATTTCGATTCGTTACAGAACTTGAATGCAAAATGATATAACATAAATATATTTATTACAATTACAATGCTGATTTCCTCTTCCCTTAATCATCATTAATTCTTTACTAATCCACGAGGTGAGAATAGAGATGTTGACGTATCGTTCCCCAGAATGATTGAGAGATAACAAAAGATTGTTACTATTGCTGCTATGGTCGCATTAACCTACTACGTTAATGGTGGAAGTGAATGATTACACAGAAATTATTGAAAGGTATTTTTTTGAGTGGGGAGATTCAGGAGGGAAAAATGCACTTCGTCCAGCACCTATTTTACAGATTAATTGGCCTATAGAAATGATACAGGAAGTGGAAGTTGAAGAGACTCCAAAACCTCCAGTCACATATGTATTCCAACAAATTCACAAAATGCTAGATATTATATGTGTTGTTAGACAATCGATATCCGATGCGATATTTATTCTCATCTCATTGATAATGAAAATAGTTCTACTTTCGTTTTACCTTTTCAAATAACTGTAAGCCTTGGTATTACTTTCAAATAATTTAAGGCGTTCCTGAAGTAGACAACTCATCTATTAATTTGTTAAAGGGACTTACTAATCTTATATACGTAGATTTTGTTGTGAAGTCAAGGGTTGACGGAAAAGATAATCATAATTGATTGAATTAAGAACATATTAAGTAGCCACATTTCGTATTTTTCTTATTACCACTAAAATCGTACTTCAATGATTTCAATGCTGATCGTGTTTTTGGGAGTGGTTTTTCATTTTGTTGCATACGGTCTCTATTATCTGCGAAATATACGTGGCACGGCGTCTTAAAAACGTCGGGGAGATATATAGCTTTGTTGTTAATCACTGCGCGCAAATACGTTACTGCATTTACGCATTGATATGCTAGGCCAGCAGTGAAGTAGAACGAAAATAATCCATTAGGAAGATGAATATTTTCCGGGCAACGCCATTAATTCATCTGATGCAGTAAAGTTAATGAACACTCATACAACTTGCACAATAACGGACGGATTAACTGGAGTAGAAGCTCAACGTAGCATTAGGGATCTGCTTTACACATCGGAAGGTGGAGAACGAAGAGATATAGTAGGCAGATGACGGGTGTAAATAAAAGTTATAGTAATTCTTAATACACTTCAGCAACATCAAACACAACAGGTAAATGATGAGTTATGGAACGCACAGCGAAACCTATAATTTTGTCGTCAGAGGATTATTGCAAAACGCATAAATTTTATTCCCATTAACTTCAAAAGCTCAATGACGAGAAGCGCATACAATGCGTTTTCCGTAGACCCATTTAATGGTTCTCCATTGTCACCGCCACCTGTCTATGCCGGATTTCTCCTAAAACAAGGGAGTAAAATAGAAGCTTTGATCCTCATCAAAATTACATTACTGCGAATGAAAGCGCAGGGAATTTTATTACCAGTCTGTCCTCCCATGAATCATAATATTGCTCTAGACAGGGTTTTGCTTCGCGCTGGTAAAACGGCCGCCGGCGAAATTTCGACACAGCAGCGGCCGACGCGAAAGGCACCCGGCGAACACGCCCGGCAGAGATGGGTGTGGCCGAAACAGAGGGCGGACAAAGAGCGCATTCGCGTGCGCGGATAAACGCACGTCTCGAAATGATGAGCACGCATCGCTCACGCACACGCCGACAGTGGATTTGGCCCCCGCTCACGCGAACCACGAGAGCAAGCAAAACTCGGCATGGGAGGTCATGGATCTGACAGTTACTGCCGTTTCTGTAAATCCTGAACGCTTTATACCTAGGAAAAGGATTTTCATTCATTCTTTCATTTACCAACCGAGTGTTTGGACTGAGTGCTCGCGATATTTTGATGCAAATGATAAAGTGAAAGCACTGGATAGAATTTTAAGATTGTATCAATCAATTATGTGTCACTAAATCTGAAACAAAATATCAATGTTTACAATTACTCGTTTTACATAATTATGAAATTCATAATGTAATCTTTAGCCCTCATATCTTAAAGAAACAGACGCTTTCGTTTCTGAAGATGTTTTCACTTCGAGTGAAGTATTAAGAAAAAAATTATAAATATAATTTTGTGGAAAGAATAGAGAGTGAAAGTCGACTGAGACGGTTTCCACCAGTAAACGTTTCATTTACTAAGATATTAAAGAATGAGGATAGCAGATCTAACTCTAGAGGTCACGCAACGAAATATATCATTGCTTGGTTAAGAGGCAAAAAATCTTGACGAAGAGCTTCCATTATTAAGGACGAAGAATAGGATGAATCACCGCATGAACTCAAGATTTAACTTTGGATGAAACGAAATACCATCTGAAACTAAAATCGAATTCACTTACCACAAACTTGATCCACCCTGATACGACAATCGGGCGCCAAGTCGTCGCAATCCCCCACCCCCATGGTCCAGAAACGTCGTTGACTCACGGGTCACCGCAAGGCTCAGTCATGGATCCTTTTCTCTCCAAAGGTCCGAGTTGTCTGAGAGCGACCCGGGGCGGGCCGAGGGCGGCGCGGGGGCGGCGCAGCGGCGGCGCGGGGGCCGCGCGGGGGCGGTGCGGAGGCGGGAGCGGAGGCTGAAGCGAGTGCGGGGTCGCGTCTTGTGAGTCAGAGGTGAGGATGGGTGGCGAACTAGGGGTGGAAGCGGGGCGAGGGTAGAGTCGTGTGGCTCGTGTGCAGACGGGCATGATAACCTGGCAAAAATGGAGACGAAGCAGGGGGTGTTGGTTCAGACGGCACGAGTGCGAGGGCGAAGGCGAGGGCGATGGCGGGGCGAAAGGCAGCGCAGGGCGAGGCGACGAGGGCGAAGGGCGAGGGCGAGGGCGAGGGCGAGGTGGGCGAGGGGCGAGGGCGTAGGGCGAGGGCGAGGGTCGAAGGCGAGGGCGATGACGCGTAGGGCGAGGGGGCGGGCGAGGGTAGGGCTGAGTTGCGAAGGGAGGGCGAGGGCGAGGAGGGCGAGGGCGGAATGGTTGAGCGGCCATGGGCGACGGGCGAGGGCGAGGGCGAGGGCCGTAGGGCAAGTTGGCGAGGGCGAGGGTCGAGGGCGAAGGCGAGGCGAGCGAGGAGGCGAGGGAGAGGCGAGTGGCGAGGGCGGCGAGAGGCGGGTGCGAGGCGCGAGGGCGACGGGCGAGGGCGAAGGCGAGGGCTGAGGGCGCTGGGCGCTGGCGCGCGGCGCGGGCTGGGCGTGGGCTGACTGGGCCGAGGGCCAGAGCCAGAAGCAAAGGGTCGTTGGGCAGTTTGGGCGGGGTGCGGGGCAATCAGTGCTGCTCCCAGTGGCGTACGGCCGTGCTGCCCATAGCAGCCGCACCGCAACCTGTTTAGTATGTGGGCGCGGGGGGGCCGGGGGGGGGCCGGGGGCTGGGCGGCGGCGGGCGACCGGAAAGTGAATTTTTTCATGCACTCTCGCGCCGCCCGCGGCGGAGGAGCTTGTTTTACAGCGAGTTTGCATCGTGGGTGCGTCTGGCTGCGCCCGAGCGCCACGCTGGCCCGCCTGCACTTGTCGATGCGGCACCCGGATGGGGGGGAGATGAAGGGCAGGGAAGAGCCGGAGCGGCCGCAGGAGGCGCGCGCCTCGCCGGCGAGGGAGAGGGCGGACGATAGAGCGCAGGTGCGGAGGTAGGGGAGGATCAAACAAGGGATGGGAAGCAAAGTATGAAGAATTGACCGTATGGGCGGTAGGTAAACAAAAGGACAGTGTAAGCTGGAAAAAAAGAGGTGGAGGAGTTAGAAAAGAAAATTGAGAAAATTGATAAAAATGATTTGAATTCAGTATTAATGACCAAAATTGGCAGCTAGGAAACGAGTATCCGCAAGAGGGAAAACGATTAACCAGAAATTCACACTGAACGTGGATTAGGCAATAAATAATAAAAATATAAATATAGTGAAAGAACTGAATAAAGAGAGAAAGTTACGACGTATTAATACGAGAACGCCTAGAGGCAGTGACGCATGGGGGCTAGAAGGGGGAGGAGGAAGGGTCGACTAAATAAAAAGAAAACGCAACGGCAAAGACAAGGAGGAGAACGAAAAGGAACGGCGACCACGACACGAAAGAAGAGAAATGTCCGAAATCCCAGAGGGCGCAGGGATCGCCGCCGAGGGCTGCATATGGGCGGTGCGCGCGCGGGACAAAGCGCGGCGCACAAGCTGCAGGCCCGGGCAGCAGCGCAGTGAATGGAATCAGAAGTGTCGGCTGAAAAGCTTTCCGAACAGAGCTCCGCGCGCGCCGATGGCTTTTGGCCCGCCGCGCCGCACGCGAGAGGCGGGGGCGGGCCGGGGAAAGGCGGGGAGCGGAGGGGAGAAAGGGAAATTTCCCTCCATTTTCCCGCGTGAATGTGGAGCATTAGGACGGTTAAGGTACTTTGTCGGGAAAGGGCGGCGGGTAAGTGGCGCGGACACATGTCGGAGCTCCTATGTTCCACCGACTGAGCTTTGCCGAAGGGCATTGACGAACACGCACAATGCGAGAGTCACGCAAAGGGCACAGGTAGGGAGAGGCCTACGCGATGGCGAACGAAGCGAGGTTTGTCTCCGCTTAGCATGAGAAGGGTTGTTTACGTACGGCGGAAATGTTGTGAAGTGGGATGCTTTGAGGATTTTTGTGACGTAGGACGCAAGGATAAATATTTATTAAGGTCGTTAACGACTGAATGTTTTATGAAAACGGTCAACGTTGTTCTTACACCCACGTTTTCATACACACTAAAACGTACCCCTCTTGCAATTTTTACACATACCGTGGGAGGGTGATTCATTATTCTCATTAAAGGTACCATTCTTTTCATTCTGTCTTGGTAGTGCTGGTGTGTGAACGCTTTCGTGACACACATGTCATTACGGCTAACAAAATAATGAAGAAAATAATTTAAACATAACAAATCAAAACATTAAAGATCAGTTAAATATTTTGCTTTACAAGTTGCAATAAATACGAACCAATTAATGTGTGCATTGTCGCATGTTTTGATAAATTTCGAGACTACCATACAGAGGTACTGTTCAAGTACAATACATGAAAATGAATTTCTAGTCCCATTGTCGTAGATGTTCATTCGCATGTGTATTATTTTAAAACAATATTTATCAATATATTTTCCCCACGATTTTGACGCTTCATTTCAGTAGGAATTTACGCCATTATTCGTCACTAACGATGGTGTATTCTAAGCACGGCATAAAACTAGTATTTACACAGACAAATGCCTTGGGCGGTAAAACATGCTATATCATTTGGTAAAAGAGCGGAAATATTATTTTAGTAAACGCATATTTTGGTGAATTACACCATAAACATACAAGTTCCAGATAAAAAGATAAAATGAATGTAAATTACTGTTTTATACTTTCAGAAAAAAGGAGTGTTGTTTAACAGACAAATATTTATAGCACACCGAGAAAAAAAATTTTTACCTCATTGAGGCGATAAAGATAAACATCACTAACCGAGTCACTTTGTATCCAAGCTCATGAGATTCCTTTTAGGTGACGGAGAAAACAGAAACTCACGAGGGCAGGGTCGTGTTCCCCGACGACGTCCTGCGAAGCAAGTGTTGGGCAGAATTGAGACGGACGCCGGTCGCAGAGGGAGTCGACCTGTGTCACGAGCTATTTAACTTCTCATCACCGCCTCCTAGCCTTTCCTGCACAGTCCGGGGTTAACAGGGGATGCCACCCGTGCTACCACGGAAAATGGTTCACTCGCTCCTTCGCCATTCTTCTGCGGGCAATTCGTGAACTATTTCTTACCGGACGCTACCCCGCATTTCTTTCTTTCAATTGTTTATTTCTACACCTTTCTACTACTCTTGAGGGGTAGCCTTCAACACATAATCATAGTATAAGGTTTTCTCCTGAAATTTTAGGAAAATATTTAAAAATCAAATCTAATTTTCTGTACTTTTAAAGATTTTATTTTGAGCCCAAATCAGATCTCTTTGACGATTTTTTTAGAAACGGAGACCGCCTTACACGAATGTACAAAAGTCGACAAACACTGCCCTTTTCTAGAGTTTATGCACTTAAGTCAGTATATCTACTGCTAACAACTCTCAGCGACGGCATAATTATGGTTAATAATGTAAAGAACTCTCGACAGTTGTAGCCAAATAGATCATTCGCAATCGATCTTTGTAGGTACTATATTCGCATGAAGCACTAGGTGCCATTTAAGCCCTGCTAATGGCTACCCGGTCGCTTGTTCCATCTTCGTTCTTCGGTGTAGGCCTACTTGACATTAATCATCAATCCTCTTTTGTTGTTTCCCTTGTCAAGTGTTACAAACCTACGCCCTGAAAGGTTCTAAAATTAACGTCTCCAGTTCTATCACTAGTTATTGTTGTTGTATTTCAGCAGAACTTGCGTTCTTACTTTGACCGAATATTAATTTTCGCAAACAAATGGCAGGGATAACGAATACTCTAGTTTCATAGGAAAGAATATGATCCAAAAAGAGAATTAACACATGCGCGTATGGAGTTACATGGTTCCAATCCAGTTAATGAGGCAATCGGAGAGCACCGCGCCGATCCTGCCTCGCGGAGGGCGCTTTCGTTCGCCTCATTAGGGACCCAGGACTCCCTCCGCCTTCCAGCCAGGATTCCGAGAACCGCGACCCTTGCCCTCTACGGCGCGCGCCGCTGGGGCCGAGTCGCCTGGGAGCCTCGCGTCCTCGTATCCTCTCCACCCTCGCCCTCCGATACGTCCTCGTCGCGGCGCCGCGCAAAAGCCCTAGCCAGCGCCGCCGCCGCCCAGTGGGTCGAAAGACGGCAGCTGCGCACTCCCACTCGCACTCTGATTTCCGGGTCACCAATTTCACAAGTAACAAAATGGGCACGTTAGAAATAAAATCTTTAAAGATTCAGGAATAAAACCTAAAAAAATATTTTTTTGTATGTTACAGAATGTCTACGTAATTCCTTTAACAGTTCCCTTGATCGATTAGTTACTGTACAAGTGATTATCATAATATGGCGCGGAAAAAAATGAAGGAAAAAACTGCGACTGTTGCGTTCCACGATCCTGGCGACCGTCGCCGGAACTGACAATTACAGAATTACTATTAAATTTCTCGCCTCCTACGGGACCAACCGATTTGCGGTTTCTACTACTGCATTGCTTACTCTTGCCACGACAAATTCAAAAGGTCATTAACGTTTTTGTCTTTGTTACGTAGTTAAGCCAGAAAACAAGCGCTGCACATTTCGTTACGCTTCTGACTCAACGCAGTGACTTAATCTATCACGAAAAAGAGGGTTTCTTAAAAAAAAAAAAAACTATTCGAGAGCTGAGCCTGCCTCTTGCGGCATGGGGAACAACTCATCTCCAGTCTACACGAATGTGGGAAAAACTCAGGGTGAGTTTTTTGGGGGATTATGAAACTGTTACTCGATTGGCGTGTGAAC